TCCTCTTCTCCATTTCTTACCTACTTTCTGGACCAGGAAGAGGAAAGAAAAGAACAAGACATGTCTGCTGTGTGAGAGGCAGGTGCGGGGAGAGAGACCCCTTAACAGGATGCCATAGTTTATTCCAGGCCAGCACAGGGCACAGAACAGACTCAAAGCAGGGCAAGCGATGACCTCCAGGGCAGCCGCCTGCCTCCCGCGGGTGCCAGGTCTGACCGGGAGCATAGCCTTCTGGGAGTGAGCTGTGGCTACTTCAAGGATGTTATCTGACTCTTTTCGGACAGTGATTCCCAAAAAAGCTCTCTTCCAGTTCCATCATCCTTGGGAACTCGCAAGCACATGCTGCAGGGGTCGGACCATAGCTGTAGAGTATCATAGGAGGAGATGCTCGGGTAAGACCTGGAGCAGGGGATTCCAAGATGGAAAGACAGGAAACCTGCTGCTGGGGAACTTTCTCAGCACAGTGACTGGGCTCAAAAACTGCCAGTTTCTTTCTTTCTTTTTCTTTCTTTCTTTCTTTCTTTCTTTCTTTCTTTCTTTCTTTCTTTCTTTCTTTCTTTCTTTCTTTTCTTCCTTTCTTTCTTTCCTTTCTTTCTTTCTTTCTTGCCAATATTACATTTATTCATTCGGCATTAAATAAATGAATCAAGTACCCACCACGGGCTAGAGACTACACCTGGGGTTGAGAGTGCAGGAAGTAGGGGAAGAGATGCAGGATGAATATGGTTAGAACCTGCCTGGGGAAGCTCATAAACACAACAGAGAGCGTTTGAAAGAAGCAGACACAGAATGCTGAGAACCCACAATAACATGGTCATTTGCATGGGGGTGTCAGGAAAGCTAATCAGAAGGGTTGGTATTTAGTTAGGTCACCAAGAAAGCTGGGAAAGGGGCCAGTGGAAGTAACCTGTATATGTTAGTGATTACAAATGCCAAGCCGGGAATGAAATAGTCCAGGGTTCGAATGTCAGCTTAACCATTTATCAGACTGTAAAACTTGAATCAAGTTCTTGATTTCTCTGAGCCTTAACTTCCTCATCCATGAAATGGGACTCAGTCCACTCATCTCATAAAGAGAATCAAGTGACAGGATCGCCATCAGGCTCTTGGCACAGTACTAGCCCAAAGTACCCACAGGGTAGAGGTGACTATGGTTGTTCTTTAGCCTGTTTATTTTTGTTCTGCGTTGTTGTGAAGGTGGTGAAGTGGCCCGCTGAGAAATGCCAGCCTCCAGAGAGGCCGGGTGTTCCAGGAGGCTTGGCATGGATCTTCAGCAGCCCTCTGGTCAGGCAGAACATGTTGGCAGGGTGGAATGTGCTAGCACAGTGGAATATTCTTGCATCTTGGCTTATAAAATATACAGATAAGTTTCCTCCAACTCTCTCTAATGCCTTCTGGCTCCAGGGCTCTTCAGCATGCGCCACACCCAGTCTGTAAGGAGCATGTCCCACTGAGGAGGAACCGAAATGCCAGCCACCTTCCCATCCCCTGCTCTCAGCGCCCTGCCCACCAAGTGGCCATACCTTCCTCACAGGGCAAAGGCTTCGCTGCCCCAGCCACACCTTCCTCATTCTCTGTCTCCCTGCCCCTCCTTGAAAAAAGAGTCAGTAGGAGGAGAAGGGGAATTCCAGTTTAGTTTAAACAGAACTCGGGGGCGGGGCGGGGGGGGGATGACATTTGTTTTCACAAGGAGGAAATCAAGCCTTTTCAGTTACCATAAAAATTGTGCTGATGTTGGCTCAGCAACCCCCTCATATGCTCGAACCATGATGCCCTGAGGTACGGAACTTCCCAGGATGAGGTTCCTGGCTGCTTCTGAAGGGAGCAGCCGCTCTGGGGGTCAGAGCAGGCTCAGCCCACAAGACCTCCTAGGCTCAGGGCCTGATAGAGAGCGACTTCCAAGGGACCCTGGCTCCCGTGGCTGGCACCCTGTGAGAAGAGACGGCGGCTGGCAGAATAGTTAAGAAGATGTCCTGAATATTTCAGTACAGCCTATTTTACCCCACACGTCTTGGCCTCATATCCAGCAGTACCAACCCTCAGGAGTGCCCCTTTGCTCAGCTGCCCTCAGGAGCCCATCGGGGGAGAATCACCTGCTAATCCCTGGTCTGGTCATAGAGGCTGCCCTCTGTGAACAAGGAAGGATGGCCTTGAGAGCCCCATTTGAGGATTGGGGCTACATCGAGAGCTAGAAGACAGCCACCAGCCACTGAGAGGGGCAGCGGGTCACTCTGTCACTTGCCTTGTTTTGAAAAAGAACAGCACTTGAGTTGGGGAACTGCCTGATTTATCTTTAGAAAGAGGCGACGTATAAATATATCCAGTAAATCGCAGAATTGGAGGCGATCCAACTGCCTAGGGTTACGAAAGAAACTTTGAAAAAGGTCAAACCTACAGTTTCCTGTATTAAACTCTGCTGGCACAGGAAAGAAAAGTCTTATAGAGAAATCAACTATAGTCTGTCTCTTCTCCTGTTTTTTTTTTTTTTGGAAGGGGCAAATTAAATTTAAAGGTCAGTTTTTAAACAGCTCCTAATTGCAACCACTGTATCTCTTTGAATCTTGAAAGGCCCCCATCACCTTACCTTGCAGTCATAATCCTCATTTCACAAGCTCTTAAAAGAGCTTTTAAGAGGCTTCAGTGAACTTTGAATTGTTCTAATTTCAGCACAGTTTGGAGGCCGTGAAGCTAAATGCAGCCTTTCAAAGCAGGGGTGGAAGTTTTCCATAAGGGGATCTGACCTTGAACTTTCTCTACATCGATCGGATCTGCACATCTGAGCATTCCGTGCCATAATTCTGTCTTTACGGTGGTAAAAAAAGGGGAAGAGAATTAACCTGATAATTACACGAATCTGGCTCTGAAGGGTTCCAGGAGCAAGGAGGTGGGCATGTGAGCGTCCACATGTGTGGAAGCTCTGAAAGGGTGGAATGTGGTCAGCCTGTGTGGACACATCAAGCTCTGGCCTTAGCCTCAGTGTTAGTTAGCAGTGGACCTCTTTGGCTCTCTTTTAGAAATTCTAAACCAGCAGAGAGAGCATGGATGTTTGATGTAGCCTTCTTCCACTCAGAACTTTTGGGGAGTTACTAAAGAGTTAATAACTAGACTGATTTGCTTCTTAGCTCTGTTCTAATTCCTTTGGTGGAAGGGCTAATGAGAAGAACAATATACAAAAGCCATTCATAAGAGAGGGAAAGAAAGAAAAGGAGAAATGACAAAATAATCTACAAACGACAAGTCTCCAAAAATGTGGGGGCAGATCCATCACCCTTGAGATCCAGTACACGACAGGTGGGCACTGGCCCAGGACGGTACATTTTGGATAAGACTTCCATTCGGTGTACGTGGCACCTGCTAAAGTCATGGGGGCAGAGGGAGCAGCTCTTCTTTCTCGGTTGCTGCAGGTGAATGGCATGCGAGTCAGTGTTACCTAAATAGCCCATGTTACATACGCAGCGACTGATGGAGGCACACTTGAATCCACATATTCGGACTCTAGATCTCTGATGCTCTTTCCAGTGCGGTCAAGAGTCCCGTTCATTTGTTGAAGTAGTAAACAGTTTGCCAGTGGCCTGAAAGAGTACATGGTGTCCCTAACACCAGGTTTAGTGCCCAAAAAGCCCCTTTCACTATTAGGGGACGAGAGCCCAGTTGATTCTTTGCATTTCTCAGGTAGAACAAAGCTGAAGTAAATACATTCTTGGTCCGAAGCTCACACAAAAAAGAGTGTTGTGCTTCAAAGTAGTCATCTTGGGAAGCAGTACGGTGGTTCTTACAAGGCTACCTGCTCAAAGGGTTTTTAACTGCCCACCAATAGTTGCCTTTGGAGCCAGATTTCAGATTACACAATAAAACATTCATGTTACTTTATAATTACACCTGGTAATTTCCATACACAGAAAACAGCGTTACCTCTCAGACCAGACCGTAGCTTTACACCAAACTTGACTTTCGTCTCTACAAAATCAAATTTACCTTTCGAGGATGAAAACTCAACACACTTCCCAAAAAGGAGTTTTTTTAAAAAATGCTTTGACTTGATGGCATCATTGAAATGAGTGCATCTCCTACCAAGATGATCCTTTTGAAGTGGACACTGCTGATAGAGCTGTGTGGTTCTGGTTTATTTAAAAACCAACCACTGGGGCGCCTGGGTGGCTCAGTCGCTAAGCGTCTGCCTTCAGCTCAGGTCATGATCCCAAGGTCCTGGGATCGAGCCCCGCATCGGGCTCCCTGCTCTGTGGGGAGCCTGCTTCTCCCTCTCCCACTCCCCCTGCTTGTGTTCCCTCTCTCGCTGTGTCTCTCCCTGTCAAATAAATAAATAAAATCTTTAAATAAATAAATAAATAAATAAATAAATAAATAAATAAATAAATAAATAAAAACCAACCACTTACTTTGTAGTGACCCTTGAATAAAACATCCCAAGCCTCCCAAGATCTCCCGAGGGTAGAGAGAGGAGCCAGAGCCTATAAAAGAAGAAAATAGGATGTCGGGAGGTTTGCAGTCCCCCACCCCTGCCACCAGTGACAGCAGGCAGCAAACGGCCTGCTGTCGTTCTTAAAACAACAAATATCACTGGACACTGTTTTCGGAACTCCAGGCCAGCCACACGGTCTTAGTAAAGTTGGCCATTTACCCAATCTCTCAGAGCCTGAGAAGCATATTGGTAACAGAATTAAGATCCTGGGTTTGGGGGCGCCTGGGTGGCTCAGTCGTTAAGTGTCTGCCTTCGGCTCAGGTCATGATCCCGGGGTCCTGGGATCGAGTCCCGCATCCGGCTCCTTGCTCAGCAGGGAGTCTGCTTCTCCCCTGCCTGCCGTTCCCCCCTGCTTGTGTTCTCTCTCTCTCTGTGTTAAATAAATAAATAAAATCTTTAAAAAAAAAAAAAAAAAGAAAAGAAAAGATCCTGGGTTTCGTTCTAGCTCTGACTTCTGTGCAGACCGATGGAAGTGAATGCCCTTGCTTCATCTTCTCCCTCTGCCTCTCCTCCCCTGCAGGCAGCATCGCCGCCATTACGGTGACGGTCATTGCCGTGGTGTTGTTGGTGTTTGGAGTCGCAGCGTATCTGAAGATCAGGTGAGACGCACCTTACTCTTCCTTACGGAGAAAAGGGTTCCATTTTGTCAGGCTGTGGGCTGAGAGCTGGTTTGCTGAGGGCTTGTGTCCTGATAAGCACCTGAGCTCTTGGGAATGCTGGTAGGGATGGAGCAATGGCCGTCGTAGCATGCGCTGGACAGGAACCCACGGTGCGGTGTTTGAACCTTGGCAACGCAGAAGAAATAAGCGGGTGTATACGGCATGATGATGGAAGGAGGATGGACCTGCAGTCAGGAGACGGAGGCTGTGGCCCTCTGCCCTTAACTCCCCTCCTCACCCTGAGAAAGCCACATGCCCCCCGAACCTCAGGTTCTTCATCTGGGAGATGGGGTGGAGGCTCAGTGGTTCGTAAATACGAATACCACTGTGTGGATGTGTGCCCAGTCTGTAAGGAGGTTTTCACTGATTCTAAAGCAAAATGTTGAAAATACAAGGAAAGTGTAGTATTTTCGGGGCGCCTGGGTGGCTCAGTCGTTAAGCGTCTGCCTTCGGCTCAGGTGATGTTCTCAGGGTCCTGGGATCGAGTCCCGCCTTGGGCTCCCTATTCAGCAGGGAGCCTGCTTCTCACTCTCCCTCTGCTCCTCCCCTCTGCTTGTGCTCGTTCTGTTTCTCAAATAAATAAAAAATCTTTAAAAAAAAGAAAAAGGAAAAGAAAGTATAGTGTTTTCTATAAAATTAGATTCCCCCCCTGAGATTATGTCCTTATATTTTTGGCTTTAAAATAGCTCATCTTTTATGAAATGAAGGTGATCATGGATGGCAGCTGAGTTTTTACTTGCTTTAGCTAAATAGAAAGTTGCAACAGTCTGTGAGCCCCCAATTTTGTTGTCTACTGCTTCGTGAAATCCCAAAGGCTCAAAAACCACATTACTTACCCTGAGGGTCCTTACAGCTGGAACATGCCTAATGGCAAATGACAGTCTTATTTGCCAGTCTCTGCAGGGCCTCTAACAAGGGACAAAAGGCCATGTGCCACCATGAGCACAGCCACTCTCTGACCTCCTCCCACAGCTGGGGCCATCTTTACGGTAGCTCCGGGCAGACCCTGTCACTCCGTCCCTTAAAAGCCCCCAGTGACGGGGCGCCTGGATGGCTCAGATGGTTAAACGTCTGCCTTCAGCTCAGGTCATGATCCCAGAGTCCTGGGATCAAGTCCCGAATCGGGCTCCCTGCTCAGCGGGAGCCTGCTTCCCCCTCTCCCTCTCTCTCTCTGTCTCTTATGAATAAATAAATAAAATCTTTAAAAAAAAAAAAAAGCCCCCGGTGGCTTCCCCCGTACTTAGAATTATTTTCTTTTTTAAAGATTTTATTTATTTATTTATTTGAGAGAGAGAGAATGAGAGAGAGAGAGAGAGAGAGCACATGAGAGGGGGTAGGGTCAGAAGGAGAAGCAGACTCCCTGCCGAAAGCAGGGAGCCCAATGTTGGACTCGATACCAGGCCTCCAGGATCATGACCTGAGCCGAAGGCAATCACTTAACCAACTGAGCCACCCAGGCGCCCCTGTACTTAGAATTAAATTCTAACCCCCCAGCTTGGCCCTCAAGGTCATTCATGGAGCCTGTCCTACCTCTTCTCACTCATCACTTCTCTCTCTCCATCTGAACCACCGAGTCGCAGTCACACAGGCTTTCTGTCTGATTCTTAGAACGTGCCAGGCTCTTTTTCTCTCCAGGCCCTTGGCTCTTGCCCGACCCTGTCTCTGAAGGCTTTTCTCCTAGCTCTTTCTCATGCAAGGTTTTCACATCACATCCTCCAGAAGACTTCCCTTCCAGTTTGGTGCCTCATTACTTTTGTTCTGGCTACCACCACTGTTTATTATTTTATTCATTGTTTTATATATTTGTTTACTTGTTTATTGTCTCTTTTCCCCACACAAAAAATGCTAAGCTCCATGAGGACCCAGACTTTGTGAGCACAACACTGGGTGCAAAGATGCTCAATAAACTGAATAAGTAAACAACGTGTTTATCATCTCTGCCGCACATTCCCTTTGCTGCCCTCTCTCATCTCTTCTGCTCACCCCAGCCCAAACCAACACCCACCAGGAACCTCTCCCATGCTCTTTCCCTTTTACCTCCCTCCATCTTTTGTTCTAAATTGTGCACCAGCTCAATCTAATGATGGTGTCAAGTCTGAGAATGCCGGGTGATATCACCAGTATCTAAGGTACAAGGAACAGGAAAGCCAGGTTTCAAAGAGAAATTGGAATTAAAGGGCCAGCGTTACCTGTATCTAAAAGCCTTTATGAAAGCATCCTTGTCTCCTTCATTGCTTAAAACATCTCTTTTCCCCACTAAGTCTGTATTTCCTTGACCAAAAATTAATTTTATGAATTATATCTTACTAAATGGTACACTTTTCAGTCCATTTCATTACTAGTTTATCACTGCAGATACGCTGTTTTCATTAGGAGTTAAATTGGCTCTTATGAGCTAGTCTGGAACCCTCATTCCCACTTTGTGTTGGGGTGGGAGGAGGCAAAAGTGGAACTTACGGATAAACTTTAGAATCACTCTGCAGTCACAGTGGTGAGTTTCTGAAGGGCTGGGTCACAAAAAATATGACCTCCACTGAAATGTGGAGTGGAATAGAAATGCTTTCGTCTTGCCACACATTTGCCAAAAATGATCTTTGTCTTGACTCCAGGCAAGAATTCAGGTTTACCATCTCAAACCACTGCCTAATCTACAGGCAGTCTAGAACAGTGGTTAAGAATTCAGACTCCTTGGGGCGCCTGGGTGGCTCAGTCAGTTAAGCATCTTGCCTTCGGCTCAGGTCATGATCTCGGGGTCCTGGGATCGAGCCCTGCATCGGGCTCCCTGCTCAGGGGGGAGTCTGCCTCTCCCCCTGCCTCTCACTTATTCTCTCTCTCTCTCTCTCAAATAAATAAATAAAATCTTAAAAAAAAAAAAAAAAAAAGAATTCAACTCCAGAAACCAGGAGGCCTCAGTTGGAATCCAAGCTCTACCAGTTTTCAGCAGGTTCTAGTGTGACCTGAGCATGTCACAGAGCTTCACTAAACTTCACTTCTCCTTCCTGTGTAAGATGGGGGCCATAATACTTACTTGGTAGCATTGTTGGGAAAATTAATGGACACTGCTTCCCAAGTACATAGCACAGCCATCAGCATCAGCATCATCAAAGAGGTCACCGAGAAGGAAGGGCCCCCAGGAAAACAGTTGCTTGACAGTTACTGAGTGTTAGCTATGTGCCAGGCCCTCCTCTGAGCACTGGGGTCCCACCAGTGATGTGACACAATCCTGCCATCACAGAACATACTGCATTTGGAATATTTTGTTAGCAGGTCATTAAAATCGGTTCTAATGAGTGCTGATTAAAATTGCATAACGTTTTATTTTAAAAATTTAAAGAGTGTTTTCTCTAGGCATTCTCAACACCAGATAAATTCAGTGAATAATTAAGATGAAGTAGTCACTGTTTCTCTCCCCCATATAGGTCCTCCCTCTTAAATGTAGAAAGGCCCCAAGGGGATAAGTTTAAGGTTGTTCTTTTTCTTTGGGACTATAAATTTAAGGATGGATAAAGTGACCAGACCCCTGTTTAGAAACCCCCTAAGGAAAGCCCCTTTCTGCTGCTCTGATAATTATTTTGGCAAAATGATAACATAAGGAGGTTAAGAGCCCTCACGAATATTAAGGCTATGCCAAAACCCTTTCGAGTGTTATTTTGCCAGATTCTTGGAAAGCCCCACTTATCATTCATCAAAAATACATCTGGATCAATTGACAAATATGTGTGTGTGTGTGTGTGTGTGTGGGTGGGTGGGTGGGTGTGCGTGCGCGTGCATGTGTACCTAGGGTTAGGTTTTCCCTTGGCTGCAAGTTTATTGCATTCCTATCATCCCAGACTTCTGAGAACAGTAACATGACAAGAGGCCTGTCTTCTGTGGTCCTTCAGCTCACTTGGCTGGAGCAGCAAGTGACTGAAATCACAACCCAGAAGGGAACCATTTCTGGCCTGCAGCCAGTGGGCTATCAGCCTGGCCCAGCCAGGGTCCCTACAAATGCAAAAGAAGAGTCTGCTTCAAAAGGCAGCCCCACAACCAGGAGAAGAGCATGTCTTGTAAGCTCTGCTAACTGGCTCAGTCGGTTCACCTTTTCCCAAATCCTGATTCCCTCTGAAGGCATCGGCCGCCTCCACCATCTACTTCCACACTCCTATTCTTCCGGGACCTGTGACCCCTAGTTCTGTCACAATATCCCCTGCCTAGAGAACCACCTCCTCCTGTCACTAAGCCACTGTTGGAAGTGACTTATAAACACGAACTGCCCTGAGCCTGCCGGGGCTCTTCTCCATCAGCGACCCCACATTTTCACTGGCAGTGGTGTGGCGGGGAGGGAGGAGAGTGGGCTTTGCGGTCAGGTTTAACACGGACCCTTCTCCTCACTGGTTAGGGGGCCTTGGGCAAATTATAATCTCCCTGATCCTTAATTTCTTCATCTGCAAAAATAGAGTGGATAACACCTCTCAAGGTTGTTTTGAAGATGAAATGGAGTAATGAAGATAGAGCACCTGGTGGTTAAGAACATGTACTCTAAGCAAATTTATTAATCACTGTGATCAGTTTTATAGTTCTATGAGTATAACTATATATAACTGTGTTAGTATTACGGTACTAACTCAGGTTAGGTAATACTAATACCTAACTAATCCTATACCTAATACCGAACTCGGGATCGTTACAAGGATTAAGTTATAATACAGATAAACATTCGGCGCCGGGTGCAAGGTGAGGGCGGAGGAGGGGCTAAAGCCTGTCATCGTAATTGTTGTCACAACAGTACTTACTACCTCGGTGCTCAATTAGATGGTCGCAGCGGACAGTTCCATTCACTAGGCATCGGGGATTCAGAGAGGGGAGGGGGAAGATGACACAGCAGCTCAGGTTTCTAACTATGCCCCGATGGGCAGATGTCCACGTTCCCTTTGATGGTTTCGGTTGTGTTGTCTTCTGCACGCCTGTGAGGCTGCGTCCATGTTATAGGTTCGTAAGCAGAAACTACTTCTGAGCAGTCTTGATTCCAAGGCTTATTTGCAACTTGAAAAGAAAGCAAAAGCCCTGCCTGCCTCTTGCAGAAGGGTGTCTTTAATTCGTGCTGATTGAAGAATGAGGTAAGTCGGTTTTGTTTTTGTTTAAATGGGCTCAAGACTGTTCTGCCAGGAGATAATCCCCTGCGCGGGAGACGGTGTCTGCTATCGCCAGCAATGTGGATGCTGCTATAATTAGGTGTGGGTAACCCAGGGGGAGAACACGGGCTGTTCCCGTCACCAAAATAAATGTGATCTTGATTTATAGACACAACAGGGCCTGGCTCGTAAGGCATTTTGTTAGAAGTCACCTGTTCTGCTTTAAGTCTTCCAGTGATTACATTTTATACAACTGGATGCCTTTTGGTTGGTGGTAGGTTTAACGAGTTAGCCCAGCCAACCATTAAGTCTAAGATCTTTTAGAATTTGTTACTGACGGGCTGACTTTTCAGATCAGCTTTTGGCATTCTGTAGGTCCAGCTGACTTGATTCGCTAGCTCCATGGTTCTGAAACGTTAATGTGCATAAGAATCAATGGGGGAGCTTATTATAAACACAGTTTCCTTTCAGGTGATGACTCGACAATGTTAGCAGCTTCTCCTGAATGTTCTCCTAAACCCAATTTAGTCATGTCCTAACTTATTTTGACAAAAATCCAAAAAAGGGGAAGATGCTTAGAGGTGATACTATACAAAAGCTTCATGAAGGAACTAGGTCTTAAAAGAAATTAAATGAAAATGAAAATGAAAATGAAAATGAAATTCAATTTAGTATCCTGGATTTTATCCGCAGGATGTGTCCATGCCTTATCTAGGCAAAGTTAGGTACTCTTCTCTGCTAAACATTGGAAAAACAGCTTCGATGAGTATTGGACAGCTCATTGTCATGTTCCAACTTAGCATACTTATGCTTAGCAATCAATTTTACCCACTTATAGGCCAATATCAGTCTGTGAAAACATGTGGGATTAGCAAATACCAGTCTATAGAAATGTTTATCATTGAAAAAAATCTGTATTTATATCTGAACTCACTTATGTAACCCATTCATCACTTTTTCCCCTTCAAGTGTCTAGTGCGTTCCTCATGGCCATTGTCCCTGTTCACAGATCTGTCATCATGGGTCTTTAGAAGAAATACATTTCAAGACAGTCCCCCCAAAAAACAAACAAACAAAAAATCACAGTTTCCTGGGTGTGGTCCCCATAGGTTCTGATGCAGTGTGGCAGCTCACAGGTGAGGACAATGCTGCAGGCTGTGAAAACCATACTTTGAGTAACCCTGATCTACCTCTGTCCGCCAACACTCCCAACACACACACTGTAGATACGGTACCCCCAGTGCCGTATCTTGGCTACTTTGGACATGTTGATCCCCCTGCTAGAGGTGTCTTGGCTACTTTGGACATGCTGATCCCCCTGCTAGAGGTGTCTTGGCTACTTTGGACATGCTGATCCCCCTGCTAGAGGTGTTTGGTTCGTCTCTTTTTTTAATCTGGCTAATTCCAAATTGTCTAGTGTGAAAGAGATGCTCTCCGGGAAGCCTCCTCCCCACCATCTCCACGGGGAGCCCCTTACCACAAGCTTCTCCTTTGTATGACTCAGTTCCCTATCCTGGACTCACTGCCTTCTTTGTCAGTCTGCTCCACTAGAAGGATAAAAAGCCCCTCACAATACCATTCATTCCTGGAGGAGTGAATGATTCTGGGTAGCAAAATTTGGGGTACAGCAGCAGTGTTCATTTATTCCAAATAGGGGGAAATGGGGTTTAGAGAAGGGGGAGCTTGTGGGAATCTGTTAAAACCATATACTTTCATTAGTTACCTCATGACTCTGAACTTCTTTACAAATAAACAGGTGTTTCAATATGTGGGCCTCTTCTGTGATGAGTGTCTGCCAGGATGATACTGGCAGATCATTTTAAAATAGAAAACAAACAAATTTCGGGCGCCTGGGTGGCTCAGTTGGTTAAGCAACTGCCTTCGGCTCAGGTCATGATCCTGGAGTCCCTGGATCGAGTCCCGCATCAGGCTCCCTGCTCGGCAGGGAGTCTGCTTCTCCCTCTGACCCTCCCCCCTCTCATGTGCTCTCTCTCATTCTCTCTCTCTCAAATAAATAAAATCTTTAAAAAAAAAAGAAAACAAACAAATTTCATCTACTCCTTCAAAGTAAAGGTGATTATTTATAGATAAATTCAAAAGTAACTGCTCTTTAAAAGAAACCCAGACTGTGGACAGAAGACCTTGAAAATGAATGATTGGAATGTTTCCATCGTTGGGATTTGAGTACAAAGACAGGACTGATAGGTTTCCTAAGTTACGATACTCATTCTGCCACCGACTTGCTACAGTCGCTGTAAATTCACCCCTAATGGTCACAGCTTTCTTAGCCTCAAAACGTCGCTGATCGTGTTCCTTTCCTAGTTTGGACAAATGTGACATGGCTATATAAGATGTCACTATCAAGGGAAGCGGGGTGAAGGGCATATGGGAATTCTTTGTACCATCTTTGCAATTTTTCTATAAATCTAAAATCATTCCCATAATTAAATAATTTACTTTGAAACAATTATAGTTCAGTAGCTATCACACAGATACGTTGTTTGCTACTTCCTCAGAGCCTCTGCGCTTTCTGTTCTCTCTGCATGGTTTACCTCAGGCATCCACGTGGCTCATCCCACACTTCTTTCACCTGTCTGTTCAAATGTCATTTTAGTGAGACTTTTTTCTGATCACCATATTCCTAAGGACAATCCCCACCTCCCATGCGGAACTCCTCATTCCCCTCTGTTGCTCTGCTGTCCTCTACTGCACAGATTACCTTCCGCCATATTATTTTTCATGTCTTATCTGTTGTGCCTGCCCCCACTGGAACGTAAGGTCCCTTAGGACAGGGGTTTTGGGGGCGCCTGGGTGGCTCAATTGGTTAAGCGGCTGCCTTCGGCTCAGGTCATGATCCCGGGGTCCTGGGTTGGAGCCCCACGTCCGGCTCCCTGCTCAGCGGAGAGCCTGCTTCTCCCTCTCCCTCTGCCTGCCACTTTGCCTACTTGTGCTCTCTCTATCTATCTGTCAAATAAATAAATAAAATCTTAAAAAAAAAGAAGGACAGGGGTTTTGGTCCGTTTAGCTCACTGAAGTATCTCCCAGCCCCCGAATAGGGCCTAACAGATTGTAAGGTTTCAGTGTATCTTTAAATGAAAGGAACCAGGCAGGGAAATGACAGAGAAAGCAAGCCACCCAACAGAAACAAAGGAGACCATGGCAACTGTACCAAACTGGCTTCGCAAATGGATGATAAGAGTCTGAAGGCTTAATTACCAGTGACTAATGAGCTGTACATTAGGCTGTGTTTTCCCAGCACTAAGCCATATCTTTTTCATCTTTATGCCCCTCCTTCTTAGCACATAATAAGCGCTCACAATTGAATGGCAAGACTCACTTGACTCGAGAGGAGACAACTTGGGGGGTGTCACAATAAGCAAAGCTGGAGCCTAGAGGGAGATCGGGGCTTGACCCTTGTAAAGGAGAAGACATTTTCTCAAACAAGTGTGTGTCGACACAAGGGAAGTAAGACACTTCATTCATTTTCTTTTCTTTTTTTAAAAAAATTTTATTTATTTGACAGAGAGAGACACAGCGAGAGAGAGAGAGCACAAGCAGGGGGTGTGGGAGAGGGAGAAGCAGGCTTCCCACTGAGCAGGGAGCCCGACGCAGGGCTCGATCCCAGGACCCTGGGATCATGACCTGAGCCGAAGGCAGACGCTTAATGACTGAACCCCCCAGGTGTCCTTCGTTCATTTTCAAAGACATTTGGGTTCCATTAAGTATCGATGCTGCAGTTATCTTAAAATAGGTACCATTGTGCAGTTGTGGGGAAGGCCTCCAACCGCAGATGTCTTCACTTCATGTCCCAGTTGTCACAGGCCATCAGCAATTAGGGACAAGGTGAGTAGGAAGGGCTGCTTCCTGTTAGAGCAAAGCCATTTGAGAAGGAAGCCATGAGGCCAGGGCTTGACACAAATCACTCCCTATTTTGTTCCCCCAGGTTCTGCTTTTAGCTCACGAACCCATACGGTAGCAGCAACATGGGGCTCACAGCACAGAACCATTGATTAACTGTGAACTCTGTGCTGAGGGCTTTCAAGCCACATCATTGCCTCAGAGAAATGCAGAATTCTCTTTCCTCTTGGCAATAATTAAGGTCAAAATGGTGGCTCTGACCCTTTGTACTCTTTAGCAATATTTTCACCCAGCCCCAGTTATATTACGCAGTGAATTGCCCCAGACCGTACGAATCCCTGCTGGTATCGACCAAGCAAACTCTGTCTATGCTATTTATGTGTACCTGACGTGAGCCCGCATCATCAAGTATTTACGAAAGAACCACTGCCTCAAGAGCAACGTGTGAGATGTTCTGAGAATTCAAAGAAAAGTCAGAGGCAGCCTGCCCCCAAGAGGTTTACCATCTATGGGAGCCGCGGTGCAGCGAAGAGGAAATGTAGCTATGTTGGATGGTGCCAGTCTTGACAAAGAAATTGAGTAGACAAAACTGTTCTGATCTGGTGATGATGCCATTCATACCGACTGCTCTTCCAAGGGAAATGAGATGAAGCAGTGTTTCAGAAGAGAGCCGGGAGACCCAGATTTCAGTACCAGCTCTGCCTTTAAGTCATGTGCACACAGGCATCTAGATTCCTCGCGCCCCACTTTCCTTATCTCGAGGGTGAGGTTGTTTGCCCCTCGTGGACTCCACAAGTACCAATCTGAAAACCGCCCCATCACCATCTAAGACGTGCATGATTTAAGAAGTTCTGACCTAGAGAGACAGTTTAAAAGGATCATTAGTTATTCTCCTTTTATAAATTTTTAAATTTTATTTTTATTTTTTTATTATCATGCTCAGTTCGCCAGCATATAGTACATCACTAGTTTTTCATGTAGTGTTCAGTGATTCATTAGTTGCGTGTAACACCCAGTGCTCATTACATCACATGCCCTCCTTAGTGCCCATCACCCTGTCACCCTATCCCCCCACCCACCTCCCTTCTGAAACCCTCAGTTTGTTTCCCGGAGTCCAGAGTCTCTTATTCTCCTCTTAACTCACACACACACACACACACACACGTGTTTATCTTCCTCTCTTTACAGTATGAGAGGATTGATGCAAACCTGGCTTGCATCCCAGCACACCCAGTTCTTCTTGCTTAGGCTCATTAATATATTAAAACAAGCCCTCCAGCTTCAGTACATTCCCAAATAGGGCTTATCTATAGCTTTTGCTTCACTTTCCTCAGTTATTGGTATTGTGCTCAACTCCCTGTACATTCCAACAAGAAGGCAAAGACAAATGAAAGTAAAGATCCCCCCTTTCCTTTCATTTTTCTAGTATTCGTATAGTGAACGTCTCTTATAATACAGCAGATTCAGGTACAGCTCTGATCAAATAGTCTTGGCCGGACAAACTATAAGCAGGAAAACCCAACGACCAAGAAAGTTTTAATCCTCTGACCCCACTCCAGCATAATGCTTTAAAAAAAATGCAAATACTAATATAAGAAACTGGTTTTCTAACTGTGCCCGTAGTGTGGTTGCAGGAGTTCCTGATGGAAGGGAGGCTTGCTTTTCCCTCGGTGCCCTTTTCCACTCTTTGCAGATTGGCCCTGTGCTTGTGTAAGTTTCATTATAATAAAAATTAAAAAGCGGTACCGGCCAACATTTACTGTGCTTTTACTATGTGCTAAGGCTTTTATAGGCATTACCTCATTTAATCCTCCCACCAGCCCTAACACATTTTAAGTTTCTCCAATTTATAGATGGAGAAACGGGGGATTACAAACATATTCGAGGACATACATCTGTTGACCCAACTGATACTTCTTGGGGATAAAATTATATGATAGATAATAAAATGCTGCGAGAAGTTATATTACCATACAAAGGCGAGGCAGGAGTACCCTATCAATAAAGGAACAGGTTTATTAGGTAGCTGTTGGCCAGGCTTGCAATGGTAAGTCATGCTAAAATTTAGGCTCGGCTCCAGTCATACAATCCCCAGGTTTTTACTTGTTCATTCTCTAGCTTCCATTGCTCAACCATCCTGTTGAAGGATTTGCTTGAGGCTGGAGGTGTTAAATGTGGGGGAGGTGTTGGCGATGCGTGGCCAGTGACCTTGTTTACCAAAACTGGCCTCCCCTCTTCCCGGCGATCAGAAGGTCAGTGGTGTATTACCTGTGGTCTCTGTCCTTCTCACACCCATGGAAATAAGTGGGCCTTAAGGGCAAACAAAGCATATTGTGGAACATCCTCAAATGTCCAGGTGCACAGCTGGGCCAGCTGAGCCAGCCCGCAGAAATCTGAGGACTAAGAATCTAAAACCAACTCAGCAAGGGCCTGATGCTTTGCAACAGATCATCTCTTTTCAAGTATCTGGCATATGGGAAGCAAGCTTCAGAAGAACAACAGCAGTTATTTTAACAACAGATAGAAGTGTAACAAATGCTTTTTGTGCCTTTCACACTGTGTTTTCGTTTTGTTCAGGTTTCATATTGAGTTGAGACAATAATTAGGGGGCGTGGGCCCGTTTGTCAGTACTATATCTAGCAGACGTGATCTCCAGTGGTAAGGTGTAATCATTCACACACGAACATGAACCTGAGAGCCATTCTATGTTCATTTTGTGATGTTCTCCTCATCCTGAGAGTACTTTTAGCCATACAATGACTACAGTCCTCTCTGGGAAGCTCCCATCTTGTGAACAGATTGGCTTTTGGGGATTTTTTTTTTTTTCCAATCACTGGTTCTTCCGCAAACATTTATTAAGGACTTACTATGTGCTAGATATTCTTCTAGGCATTGGAGATAGTGCCAAGAACAAACAAAGTCGTCACATCATCCATACTTAGAGTTTAGTCAGGGAAGGTGGCAATCACAAAATAAACAAGTGAATTATATAGTATGTTAGAAGGTGATGAGTACTTTGAGAAAATGAAGCCAGGAATGCTGGGAGTGGGGGGTGGGAGTTGCAAGTTAAACAGAGTTCCTGAGAGAGGCCTCACTGAGAAGGTGACATTCGTGCAAAGACTTGACAGAGGTGAAGGAAGGCGATCTGGAGGCCAGCTGTTCCAAGCTGCGGGAACAGTACATGCAAAGGCCCTGAGGCAAGAGTGTGCCAGCCGTGATGGGGCGGAGCAAGGAGGTGTGGTTGGAGCAGAGGGAACAAGAAGGACTGGAATAGCAGCTGATGTGCTCAGAAAAATAACAGGGGCCAGATCCAGAGGGCTTTGCAAACCATCCTAATGATTTGGCTTTTACTCTGTGAGATAAGGAGCCACTCCATGGTTTTAAACAGAGGAGCGAGAACTATCTGATTTCAGTTTCTTACAGAAATAATACTAATTGTGAGACAGGTTCCCAGAACAACTAGTCAAAGCCTGTTAAACCCAAGTTGCCATTGAACTAAGGATGCTAATCAGACTCTGGGAAGCTCAGAGCACGGGATCTGGACCCAGGAGGTGAGAATCTGACTCATAGCTCACTGGGGTAACTTGGTGCACGTCAGATCAACAGCTCGGAGAGAGAACTTCTCCCTGTCAAAGAAATAAGCAAGCAATACCCGCCCATGGCCTTATTTTGAGGATCAAGTGAAAATGGAACACAGAAACACTGTGTAGGTTGTAAAACACGATATGCAGGTCAGGAGGGGTGGTGGGAGCAACAGTGGTTGTGGTGGCGTCCTTATGATTCCTGGGAAAATTCAGTCCAGGACTGAAGTCAAATGCCAGGAATGCAACCTTCCCTTTGCTATTACTTATTAAGGAGCCATAGGAATGGGTCCTCCTCCTTCTCCAGCACTAGAGGTCAAGTAGAGAGACAAGGACCCAGCTGATCTCAATGGAAGGGGCCAGCTGGGCTCCCACGTGAGCAGTCCTAACTTCCAGGGGTCTGTAGACTGGGGCCTCCAGGGCTGGCAGGTGGAAGAATCGGGTCTCCCCTCCTGCGGGCCCCGGAAGCCTCCCCCGCACAGGCTGCCAGCCATTCGGCTCCCCTCAGGTGGGCAACTTCTCCAGATAACCACAGCTCTCTGCTCCCCCCACCAGGCATTCCTCCTACGGAAGGCTTTTGGATGATCATGACTACGGATCCTGGGGCAACTACAACAATCCTCTGTACGACGACTCCTAACGAAGGAACGTGGCCGGGATGAGGAAGAACTGTTGTTTATTTATAAAGTGCTTTCCCAGTAGAATTAATACAAGTACCTGATATGCATTGAGCGACAATCTCTTAAGCCCTGTTTCATTGGTTTGTTTTGTTTTCCTCCCTCTCCTCTGGCTGCTATAACTTCCCCTTTCTGCAAAAAGAATCATTGTTTAAAGGTGAGTGGAGGCTTCTTTGCAGCTGAAATGGGCCAGCCTGGAGCCGGACCACCGTGGTGGAAGCTTCCGTACCCGCTGCAGGATCCACCTTAAGAGGGACTGAGGGCCAGGGATCCAGTCGTTCCGTCGGGGGCTACTTTTAGGGGAACTTTTTGTTGGTGGTATTTCTCAAACTTTTTAGTTAGGAAATTACATTCAGTCTCAATGAGGGGAAAGGAAATGAGTACTGGGAGGACTTCCCCTTCAGGTGAGGGCGCAGGGGCTGCTCCGATTCCTTTTTAATCTCTGTTTGTATCTGCCAGGATGCCTGCTTGGCTCTGCGAGCGGGATCCCGGCTTCTTAACTGCCCAGTTAGTGGAAGAGAAAACCGGAAGGCACCCCGGGGAGGCCAGGAGGCCGAGGGACAGCTAGCATGTTGCTGTCAGATCGCAGCATGCCCTCTACCTGTTCTCCCCTCCAGGCTGCCCATCTCTGCTCTGCTCGGGATGCCCGTTCTGGTCAGCTGCAGCCGGCTGGCATCGGCCCCGGGGCTCTCCGCAGGAGAAGGCTGGGAGAGGAGTTTAGTTAGAGAAGAGAAAGGGGGAGGCGTGGGAGGGAGCGAGCGCTGGGGCAGTGGAGGAGGCTGGGAAGGGAGGGCACGGAGGTCCACCTGGGGGAAACGAGGAATCAGCCCCCAATAACTAACAGAGATATCCACTGCTCTGAGGAACCTCTAGAAAGAATCCTTGCTTTATACCCACAAAACAGCTAGCTCACTGCCTTACTGTCTGTTGGATAATGGCTGTAGACTGTTTTGTAAAAAACTGTGAAGGCATTAGTCTATCTGCGGTTGCTCAGTGAGGCATTTCCATAGGAAACAGACACCACGATTAATCCATTTATTCTTCCTGTTCACTTACCTTACTAATTCTGCCCTCTAATTAACGAACACCCCCAGGTACATGGTCTTCAAATCCTCGATCTCGAATTTTGAAAAAGAACTGATATTGTTTGCAGATGGCCATTTACTGCAGTGGGTATCAACCGGCAGACAATTTTGCTCCCCAACGTTAGCCATTTAAAAATGTCTCGTGTCATTTTTGAGTGTCACAACCTGGGGGTGCCACTAGTAGATAGAGGCCACGGACGCGCTGAACATCCTACAATGCACAAGACAGCCCACTACAACAAAGAATTGCCTGGCCCAAAATGTCGGTAGTGCTCAGTTTAAGAAACCCTGGTTTCTTGAAATGCCCCTTGTGACAAAACAAGACACTCCCAGCTTAGTAACATTTTTTATTTTTACCTAAATGAAATGATTTGTTAAATTGTTACCTAAGAAGTATTCAGTTTGTTGGCTGATGGGTTGTTTTGGCATGTGTGGTTGCCTTTTTATTTCTGTGTGTTCTCTAGATAGCTTTATTTCGTAGCTAGAACTCTATCCTCCCGAAACACCTGATGTTAGTAACGGGCATCTTGTGTCCTGATTGGAGTAGGAAACTTCACGGATTAGGAAGCATCCATTGGGTCCTGATTCGGAATACATTCTCTTGTCCTACAGTGTCCTAAAGAACTTGAAACTGGATCAATTTTTATTTCTAAACTTGGACTTGCTGCCATGGCTGTTCTCAGAAATGTGACCCTCAGCTCAACCTATCACTCGCTGTGGTCCAGCAAAGTACTGACATGAAGACCACTGTTGCCATGCTGTTCGGAGATGCTAGGACCTGTGCTGTTCTCCACAGCCTGCCTTCCCACACTCTGAAATTATTCCTAAACTCCTTACGTATCAAAGGAGAATGAGCAAGCCCCAGAGGTACTTTACAACAGGACCAGGTAATGAGAAGTAGGCTGTCAGGAAATCTGATTAGCTCTGATTATTAAAAAACAAACAGACAAACAAAATGGACATTCTCAGAAAAATGGCCAGGGATGACCCATGTTGCCCCCTCCGGCTGTGCCGGGCCTGATTAATTGTCTCTCTTCCCTATCCTCCCCCCTTTATACAGCCTGTAGGCCTTCAGTTTAGCAAAGGAGAATTCAACAAAAACAGGACATCCCTTTATTTTCTCCCTTGGCCACAAACATTTTGACAAAATGTCCATGAAACAGCTAGCTTTAGAGCGTTGCTCTCCTGGATGCTGCTCCTATTATGACCACAGACTCAGTAAGCATCTTCCCTTACCAGAGTCTTCTGTTGTGCAAGAGCACCTGATGGGTTTGTTGCTCCTATTAACTTCCACATCCTTATGGCAAAGAGAGGGATCTGGGCCTAAAGCAGATGTATTCAGCAAGGTGACAGCTTCCCATAAAAAAACTCTAACCCTCCTTGTCATGGCAGTATAAAATACCTCCAGGGTGAACCTTATTTTGCCAAGTACTTTTTTTCTGAGTTGGCCAAAGAATTTGAACTGTATTCAACACATGTTGCTTGAAACACATACACCCCCCTGAAATACATGCTGATAATTGATGTCAGGGAGATATTCTGTCCAGGTCTGCGCAAGGGAAATTGCTCCAGTGGATCTAAAAAACAACCACGTTCATCCAGGAATAGGACTAGTCATAAAGTGATAGACTGTCAGAGCAGGAAGGAGGCAAGCAGCCTCTTCTAGACCGTACATTGCAAATGATGAAGAGTGGGATTCAACTTTGTTTTCTTTTCTCTTGGCCCCAGTGAAGTCTCCTGCCCTCCCTGGATGCCTGTCTTCATTTCTTAAATGAGGGTGATGCTTTCATATTGACCTCACCCCATGCTACCTCACAAATGTGTTGTGAGGATTCATGAAACGATGTCTACAGTGTTTTCAGTTTCTGGAGAGAAATATTTATAGACATCTTAAGTATTACATAGGTATATAAGTGATCTCAGTTTCAGTTTCCTGTTTGTAGTTATACTGGTGTGTTGTTCTGACTTAAATCTATAAAACAACAGCTGTATCTTGGCCACATCAGGCAGCTGTCCCAGCTCTGAGCTACCCCCCAGTGCATCTGACTGCAGGGTGAACCATGCCTGGGACCAGGAGAATGGTTTCCATCTCCAAATGAAAAGATGTCCCAGGACCTAGGTCTCACAGACTATTGAGTTAGGATCCAGAAGGTTAGGGTAATATAGGAAGGATACCTGAGCACTGATAGCAGTAGGCCTCTGGCCTTCACCATCCTGAAGTCTTCTGAGTTCTTTGTGGAGTTGATTTTGGTTTGATGTCATCCGTTTGCCCTTCATCTTGCTTGCAAGGGTGCACGGTTCAATCCCTCACGTATGGGAAATGAATTTTGCAACTGCGCCGTGTTGATTTGCACGTTGGATTCACCCTCTTTGCCTTTAACCTCTTTTTGGCAAACGAATGTACCATTTCAACTTTGATTTTAAAAGTGCTAGTTGGTACTGCTAAGAGTGGTAACCGAGAGACCAACGCCACATTGCTTTCTCGGGGTGAGTTAGCCAACATCATCTAACGATGGAAAGATGTGCAACTTCTTTGATATTTGATGTCATTGTATCTACATTTGTTGTAAGACATATTGCATACTAATTATATCGATTAAAGTTGTTAAAAGCTTGCACCTGACAGTGGTGACTCACATTTTGATATGTTTTGTTATTCAGGACATTCAGTTGATATGCTCCTATTAAGTACCCTTGATTTGTTCTTAAAGAAAATCTATCCCCCATCAATAAATAATATTTTCTGCACAGCGGGAAGGTCTCTCTGATCTCGAAACAGAATTGAAGGGTGTCAGAAATGAAGAAACTTTCCAAGCCGTCATTTTGCTCTTAACAATACATCATGTCTTCTAAAATAATTGTAAAAATAAACACTTTGATTCAATAAGTAGGCAGGGGTACAAAACCAAGTCATATTAAGGCATATCGGCATTAGTAGTACATCTGATACCTGCTTGTTTCATTCTCCTTCAAAAAAATTAAGTTCATCATACCCATCCTGACAGTTAAAATAGCAAGCAATTTCAATCATTCGGAACATAATATCAACCCTCGGGAGCTAACCAAAGATTATTCTGATTCAGAAGAAAAGAGCAACGATAAAACCCATGCATTTTGCAACACAGGGGAGGAATGGAAGCACCTGCAAGCTAGAGCGAGGTGATATGATGATTTGAAAACTTGAGGTCAGATTTAGTAAGTTTAGGTGCCTGATGTCCAGTGACACAGCATGGAGGATTGACTGGAAAGAGTCAAGAGGAAGAAAGAGGACCAGACGTGAAACAGACCCTTTCCTGATGATGACCCAGTCATCTCTGGAGGCCCTCCAAGGGCACAGAGGCAAGTAGCAACTCCATTATTCCAAGCTTGCCTGAACACAATCGGTTAGAAAGCACTTCGAATGTGCATGGAAAGAAAAGGCCTAATGATAATGTGTAGGGTTTACCTATTACGAATTATTGGGTCCAAAACAATATATTTTCCTACCCTGTAGCTTTTCCAAGTCAGATCATAGTATGTTTCAAGGATTTAGTAACCTCGCCACCATCTTTTACTCTCCTAAAGGTCGGCAGTACTCACCAATCGCTGGCTATATTTTGATTTTTGTCAGAAAGCGTCGAGATTGAAAAGTACTGAACAGATTGGAGGACAAAGCCTGTGAGAGGTATGCTCTCTCCTCTGAAAGGATCTAAACTTTGGCAAGTACAGAATGGGCTCCATTTACTGCACTAAAGCAGCATTAATTAGTTTGACTCAAGAAATGCATTGCGTTTCTATTTTAAGCAAGATACTGAATATTTACTATAAAACAGGAGGAATATAGTATCCAGTAGGAACTTTGGGTGCCTGCGGGCATTGCCTGATGCCATCCTGCATCAACGTCGTGGTCACTACACTCTCTCCGTGTTACAGGTAGGGAAACTGAGGTTCCACGATACGAAACGCACTCCGGCGCGTACTGAATCCTCCTATGGACTCCGTATCGAATAAGATGGGCCCTGCTCGCCACATATTTACAGCCGAGTCAGCGGCAGAGGTGGCATTCCAAGCAGGTCTGTCTGTCACCAAAGCCCTGGGTTATTTTCCACTCGAGGGACTGGTTTCTGGTCTAAGTATAACCCAGTGCTCACACCTTCTACTAAAATGGGATCTTCCACCTCTTGCCAAGTCTCCCCTCAGCTATTTTAGGTGATCTCAAGGGGGTCTGGCATGCGGCCCAGAGCAAGCCCGGTCGGCTCCCAGGCACATGTCCCCTGCCAGGTACTGTTACCTTCCTGCCAGTTCACGTGGCCCTGCTGGGCTCTGTTCTCTGCCAAGGAAGAGGCTGCCTCCACCTCCCCCACTCTGTTAGAGCACCAGCACAGGCCCCCCTGCCTCCCCGGGTTGAGTGAAAACCTCTCCTAGCTTCCACCTGCAGCCTCCCCGCTCCCCGTAGGAGACCGGTGTGAGCCCCCAGCAGCCTGGACTAGAGATTCTGTCCTCGGAATCTCTTCCCCTCTTGCCCTAAGGTTCCATTATTTCAAGAACGTGTCTTTCCTTGGTATCCTAACAATAATGATAGCTTATTCTCAGCTAACACTATGAGCCAGATCCCGTTCCGAGCACTTTACCTGGATTAACATCCCTAGGAGGTAGATACTATTAATGCAGTATCCCCACTGTACAGATGAAAAAACTAAGGGCTGAGGGTGTAGAGACTTGCCCAAGGTCACGCAGCTCCTAAGTGCTGGGGCAGAATTCAAGTGCCAGCAGTCAGACTCGAGAGCCTGTGCTCTCCATCACCTCCACAGAGCCCCCACTCGGTGCCAGGGGTTCCTGCACATCCGCTCAGCCCGCCGTCAGACAGGCTCGTCTGTGTCTGAACTCCGTGTGGCCACGGCTGGGCACCGAGCGCAGAAGCGAGCTCCCTCCCTGAAGGAAGGCTTCTGGCCTGGCCGACTCTGTGCTGCTTCTGTCTAGATTCTGGCGCTTCCAGACAAGGTCGCCCACCCGACAGCCCCCAGCTCGACAGCAGGCAACTCCAGGCTGACCCGTCCCTTGTCACCAGACCCACACAGTAGCTGTGGTGAGAGTGCAGAACACTCTCAGGTTCTCCCACTAGCCACGCCTGCCTTGGCACGGGGACAGAATTCACTGCAACCAACACTGCTGGGCAAAGTGCTGAAAAGTTCTAGCCCGTCAGAAGCCAGGGGTTGTCAGGTGGTGTGAGAGACAAATGCCTGCCCCCGCACCACCACACTGAGGCCTGCAACCGGCATCCATCAGGGAAAACCAAAAAACACTTCTCCGTGTATTTCTGGAATATATATTAAAAGCTTAATACAAAGCAAAGGATTTCACGTAGAAACCAGAGTCTCACATGGACTTTTTGAGAGCGGGAAGAGAGGTGGGTAGGGGAACCAGAGCAGGTAACTGCTGAAATTCTTGGGTGTCTGGGAAGCTGCCACCAGCAGTGAGGTGGGGCTGGGGAGTGGTGGGGTCCTCAAGAGCTCACTGGGGGCCACAGCTGCCCCCACACCTGCCTGCAATGGTTTTGGGGGAATGGCTTTCCCTGTTTTCCATCTTTCCTATATCACTGGAGAACTTCCCATGGGCCAGCTCCAGCCCATGGGAAGGGAAAGGGAATTGGAAGAAATGCAATTTCTGGCTTCCCCCCTGGTTTGCCAAGGAGACCTTAGGCAACGTGGGAAGGATGCTGAGCAGCAAATAAGTGAGCACAGTCCACCCTCACTCCTCCAAGGTTAGAACTTCCCCAAAAGGAAAATAAACAACATCATTTTATCCCTAAGGTGATGCAACTGTCCCTTACACAACTGAGGGTACACTCACCTGCCCCCTAAAAAGAAAGACAAAGACACGGAATATGCCATGTGTGGCTTCAGCTCTGGGAACATTCACTCCTAGTCCAGATGCAATCTTCCTTTGATATCCAGCAACTTAAATGCCCAATTATAGGGTTCACCACCTTATATTGGATAAAGGTGGGGGGATGAAGAAAGAGAGAAGAGGAACTGATGAATACAAATGCCTATATATATATATATATATATATATATATATATATACGCATATATGTATCAAATTGAGGAAGAGAATATGCATAATTACAAAAAGACTTCCTTTCTGCAACTGATCAGGAGACAGCATTGGTATTGAGAATTTCCTTCTTCTGCTAGCCTGTGCATTTTCCTTTGTCCTCAGCCACATCTCATCTGGACATGGTTCTTTACGTGGCAGGGTGACTCAGACCTTCTGCCGAAATGTGAGGAAAGCTTGGGGCCTGGAAAAGCAAAGAGAGCTACTGAACTGGATACCACAAATAAATGAACATGAGAGAGAGATGCCCACATGGTACCTAAGTGCCAAATACTCTCCCTTCCCTACTTCCATTGCTCTTTCCTCTCTCCGTTCCCATCCCTCCAGCCCACCTCATCCACCCCCACTAAACAGAAGAAGAAAAAAAGTAGGGTAGAGAAGAGGTTCAAAATCATTCTCAGCACTTAGCTTGCTGCATGCAGAGCCCTGGGTCATTCCACACCCCCATCCACCCACCAACTCCCCCAGCTCCTCATCTCTGCTTGGGATCTTCTGAAGACAACGGTGCGTTCTTCAGAAAGCCAGAACTTGATAAAAGACCTGCTCAGGAGTGTGGGGGGCAGTAAGAGCAAAGGTTTCCTTGCATTCATTCACTTTCAACATAGAAGTCCCATGGGCCATTCCACATCCTCCCAACTCCCCCATTCCTCTCCTCCCGTGAGGAAGTGCCTGGCTGTAGATGGTCTTGCTGAGCCATGATTACAAGCTCTGGGGCTGATATGCAATGAATCGAAATACATTTAACTTACAGGATGAGTAAGCCCCAGTGGCAATTAATCTCAAATCCTGAGGCCCGGGGGCTGCTTGAGGGACTGTGCTCTCTCCTTCTGAACAGCCATTTCTGGAAAGCAGCCAAGCTCACTAAGCAGCCCTAATCATGGGGGCACAGCCTTGAAGCATTTGCCTGGCCCCTGCCAAGGGCACCCAGCAATACCTGGCTGCTGGACTCTTCTCCTCCAGAGTGGAGAGGCCGGATTCTACGTCTGTCTCCCATAGGCCGGTTTCAGTGCCCCCCATGAGTTCAGGTAAACTAACTCACTCCTCGGGGACCAACATCCTGAGCTATCCAGGGAGCTGACAGGTGGCTCTTCAGCTAAAAAAAGGCAAACCATTCGGGGTGCCCGGGTGGCACAGTAGGTTAAGCATCTGTCTTCAGCTCAGGTCATGATCCCGGGGTCCTGGGGTGGATCCCAGGCTCCTTGCTCTGCGGGGAGCCTGCTTCTCCCTCTGCCTGCCGCTCCCCCTGCTTTTGCTCTCTCTCTCTCTCTCTCATAAGTAAATAAGCAAACAAACAAATAATATCTTTAAAAAAAAAAAAAGGCAAATCATTCTTTCCTAGCCTCCATAATTTCCTGCAAACTGAGGCAGCTGGTTCCCTGGAGAGTAACAGGCTCTCAATCCAAGCATAGTCAAAACCATGGACAAAGGCTAGAGATTCTGCTTTGCATCCTTCCCCTCTCAGTGCCTTCTCTATGCTTAGGACACTAGCTGTAAGAAGGGAGCGGGGCAGTGGGAAACCCAGGCTGCTACCTGACAGAGGCATTATGGGACTAGGGGCCAACTGGGAAGCACTTGTTCATGGACAGCCTCACTGTTTGCTCGATTAAAGGCCCCATGGATTCCACTAAGGAGCAGACTGTGGTGGAATGGTAGCACTGAAAGCAAAAATTTCATTCATTCATTTATTTACCATTCAACAAACAGTCTTCATTTATACATTCTAGATGTATAAACAAGTGAAACAAAACATGATCCCTAAGATAATATTCATCTTCAAAATGCTTTCAGTCTACAAATAAAACAGGCTAAAACTAAGACTGGGACTCGGCACAGAGTGATGGGTACCTTGGTAATGTGCAGGGGACACTGGAAGCATGGAAGAGGATGTAGTAAAAAGATCGGAAAGTGTCCTGACAAGTTTAGTTTCATTTTCTTTATTCCCAGATGTCTCTCTGATCCTCATTCCACCACCATCTGCCTAATCCATTCCCTGGATCTGAACTTGCCCTCTGGGCTATTCCTTTGAAGATCCATCCTTTGCCATCAGTCCCAGATTTTCTCTTAGAAATTTACTTTGTTCCTCCTAACTGACATTTGAGCCAAGGGTACTGGCTTCTGCCCACACTGGTCACACCCAGATCAGCCCTTGCTTCCAGTGTTTGTCGTGGCCCAGGGATGCCTCGGCTGGAACTTGATATTGTGTCTCTCACTACAGAAAGAAAGCAGGGGAGTGAGGAGGGGGCACGGAGAGAGAATATCATCCTCTCCTCATCTTGCCACATTTCCTATGGTCATAATTCCCTAAGGATCACCAGGGCGTTTAACTGGTTTTCCTGACTATGTCCTCTGATGGAAGAGAGAAGAAGGAGAGAAGGGAAATGACATTTGTTGAATGCCTGTGATGTGCCTACACCATTTGGAAGATTGTTAGGTCTTTTTAGAGACCAGAAAACTGAGGCTCGGGAAGGTTAGGAGCCTCAGAATTGTTACAGAGCTAGTAAGAGGTGAAGTCTTGATCTCAATGTTGGACCTTCTTACTCCAAAGCCCATGTTCTATCTAGAATGATGATGCTTCTCAAACTTTAATGTGCATGTAACTCATTGGGAATCTCATTAAAACACGGCTTCTGATTCAGAGGTAGAGGATGAGGGGTGAACATCCGCATTTGTAATAAACTCCCGGCTGGTGCTGATGCCAGGGGTTCCCCATTGCCCCCTGATTTTGAGCAGTAAGTCTCATAATCCCAGGTAACCCCCAAGGGCCTGCCAGCGGGCCCTTCTCAATAGGGCTGATAACACCACCTCTTACCCACGGGCAGCGAAGCGTGGCAGCATCTTTTGGTTTTGGTTCTTAGTTGTTGCTATGACTGGTGGAGTTATGAGCATTTCATATCTGGGAGTCGAGGATGCCACAGATCCTTCAGTGTATGCAATAATCCAGGGTTGATTTTCTTGGGACAGTCGTACACAGCATAGATTGTCTCACCTAAAATTCTCAAAGCATCTTCATCAAGGAACCCTGAGCAGCAGCTGGTGGGGGGCAGTGGAGGGCGCACACTACTGTCATATGCGATCCCTCTGGCTGCCTTATCCTGTTCTCCGCGGTTGGAAGCATCAGCTCCGCGCCCCAGTTGCTCTGCTCCGCACCGTCTTCACCAAGGGCCGCTCTAGAGCGTATCACTGCACATGCGCGTGCGGGTGGATGCCTTGCTTCCTGGGACTCCAGCGTTTCGGCAGAAAAGATGGTCCAAGGGGGCCGCATCCGAGAGAGGTATGTTCACATATTTCTTGGCACCCCCCAAGGGCACAGGGATGCTGCTATGACACAAACGTGGACATTTTAGGAAAGCATGTTGGCTGGCTGATAAATTCATATTTTGCATTCCATGACAATTTCAGAAGGTATTTCTTGAGAAGGTGGGAGAGGAGCTGACATCTACTAAGCCTCTGCTATGTGCCAGGAACTGGACAGACGCTTTACGAGTATTATTTCACTGCAGCTGTGGCATGGAATAGATATTACAAACTCAGACTCTGGAGCTCGAGTGTCTGGGTTTGAATCTCACCTCAGCTACTTACCAGTTGTGTTACCTTGAAAACAATATTTAATCTCTCATTCCCTCAGTTACTTCATCTGTAAAATGAGGATCAGAATGGTATCTGCCTCATTAGCCTTTTACAAAAGTTAGATGAATTAATACCTGAAGAGCACAAAGCATAGATTAAAGACATAAAAGCATATGCTCGCTAAACAGAATCACCATATAAGTTATTTTTACAGATTTTACAGATGGGGAAACTGAGATACTCAAGATCACATAGCTACAATGTGGTACAAGCTGTCTGATCAATCATAATAAAAACTATTATTCACTGAGGGGTGCCTGGGTGGCTCAGTCAGTTAAGCGTCTGACCTTTGGTTTCCACTCAGGTCATGATTTCATGATTTCAGGGTTGTGAGATTGAGCCCCACATGGGGCTACACGCTGAGCGTGGAGCCTGCTTAAGATTCTCTTTCTCTCTTTCTCCCTCTGCCCCTCCCCCACTGCTTATGTGCTCTCTCTTTTTCTCTAAAAACTAAAAATAAAAGATAAAATAAAAAAATAAAATGCCAAATACTAATCATAAAAAGAAAAACCTCTTGCTTTAGATACACACTTTGACAAACATATATTTAAAATCCAAAACCAGGGGCGCCTGGGTGGCTCAGTCATTAAGCATCTGCCTTCGGCTCAGGTCATGATCCCAAGGTCCTGGGATCGAGCCCCACATTGGGCTCCCTGCTTGGCGGGAAGCCTGCTTCTCCCTCTCCCACTCCCCCTACTTGTGTTCCCTCTCTCGCTGTGTCTCTCTCTGTCAAATAAATAAAATCTTTAAAAAATAAAAATAAATAAATAAATAAAATATAAAACCAGGGGTGCCTGGGTGTCTCAGTCATTAAGCGTCTGCCTTCGGCTCAGGTCATGATCCCAGGGTCCTGGGATCGAGCCCCGCATCAGGCTCCCTGCTTGGCGGGAAGCCTGCTTCTCCTTCTCCCACTCCCCCTGCTTGTGTTCCTGCTCTCACTATCTCTCTGTCAAATAAATAAATAAAATCTTTAAAAAAATAAAAATAAATAAAATAAAATATAAAACCAAATACATAGTATAAATCTATATTTAAAAATATCTGGGTAAAAAAACCCAGAAAATATCTGGGTGTGGGCATAAGCTAACTCTTTGGTTCCTGAAAATTTGAGTCAAGCAAAATGTACATGAAGGGTCCTCCTTTCCTGGTAGGTTTCTTTATAATCAGAATCAACAGTTGTCATTGCTCTAGGGACCCTGCAAATGTTCACTATTTGGTTCACCTCAGGCAAAATTTTCCACTGATGAGTTATTGAGCATAAATGGTCAATTCTCAGGGAGGAATTTCAAAGGTAACTTCTCTCACCTTCTAATCTCCTGTTCCCTTTTCAAAAACATGAAACACAGATCTTAACAGCAGCCTTCATCTTCAAAGACATCAGCCAACTTCTCCAGAGAAGCCTTCCATGTCTTTGGATCAGCCCCTTCAGCTTCCCCTGAAATCTGAAATTTACCAGCCAGTTATCATCTTCCTGAATAATTAAACCATTCCTTACAGCATTTATTATCTTTTCTCGATGGTTTCCCGAGTTGTGTCCATAGAGTTTTAAAAAGTGACAACCAATACCTATTAATAAGCTAAGAATTTATAGCTTAGTTGAGGAGCATGCTCTTTAGCCAATCAGGAATTCACATCATCCAATGCTTTTTTTCACCTTTCAAATCAGCACACCACATTGTCAACACTAATTATTTGAATTGACTGAAGTCTATTCTAAAAGTACATCAGCTTCAGCTGTTAGGTACTCATAAACACAAAGCCTGTTCGATATGGTTAAAGTGTTACTTATGATAAGCCTATAAAGATTGTACTTCTCAAGTTAAGCCATCCCAAGTCAGGTGGTGTCTGTTTCCAAATATTCCATTAAGTACATGGGCTGTCTTTGCTCAAAATGGGAATTCTGGTCTGTTAACTAATCCTACTAACATTGCCTCTCTCTGAGCTGGAAAAAGATGAGTTATTTTTGGCAGTAGGTAATTCCTTGTCCCAGAGACAAAGTTCTTTGCATAATCAAGCTTTTAAATGTCAGTAGCAGTTTGGAGTGTTATTAAAGTATTTCTGGCTTCTGAAAAGGTTTCCAAATATCCTTCAATGTGTTTAATCTTTCCTAATGAAGTCAGATAAAAGCTGAAGTTTTTGTCAGTCTGAAGTGGATCCCAGTACACGGCCATGGATGCTGAGTGCTCTGTCTGCACATTTTGTCCTGAAATATGTTTCCCTGCATCCAGAGAAAATAGCCCAGCCTTGGAAAATTTGAAGTCACAAGCTGGAAAAGCTTAAACAAACAGAAGTCATGAAGTATGTTTACGGTCCTCTAATAAAATACCTATTTATATTTAGCCTGTTTCCAACCCATTTTTATTAATTGGCCCTTCTAGGAATTTGGGAGATTGAAGGGCAGCCTAGTGTCTTATTTGATGGTAAACAAGACCAGCATACTTCAAAATCTTCTGCTGTGTGACATGTAAATAAAGGAGGAAAGGCAAAAAGAAATGGCCATTGGTCTGGATGACATGTAAAGACCGGGTCCAACAATATTTGTGTCTCAAACATTTTAAGATTATTTTTAACCTTGCTAGTAGTTTTTGAAATTCCAAATAAAACTAGTGCACCATTTTGCATTGTAAATTTAGAACACAAAAACTGAATCCCCAACTTTAAAAACCCAAGGTATCCAATAGCAGAAATTCTGGGATGAAACTATTATATCATATATTTCTAGTGGGATATAATTTGGAGCAAACCTTCTATCACAGGTCATAAACCCAAAAATCATGCTCCAAGATAGAGATTCATGTGCAAGAGATTCCTTGGGAATGATTTACATAGAGACCAACACCTGAGAGGGAAAGCAGGAAGCAGGAGTGGGCAGAGAGGGTGAACTGGGACTCTAATACCATTGCAGCAAAGGTCTCGGTCAATCCTAAAGGGAGCTCTGGGGCTGAAATGATCCCACAGAGTTGTCTCAAACTGGGGTGTTAATTGCAGGTTCCCCTCTGTATAACTTTAGGCAAGGCAGCTCTCTCCAGCCTACAGAAAGTTCCAGAAAAGGAACTCAGCTGAGAGCCATCTGCCACCAATATTCCTACCAGCTGGAGTAATGAATGAACTGACCTGGAGGGTGATCTGGGTGGCACGCAACAGCATCCTTTGTAGACAACTCCTTGCTCCACTTAGATCCACTAGCTTCATATAGTAAATTCTGAGAGAAGCTCCTCCAGTATTCTGGATTCTTTCCCTGGGAGAATCTTACAGGAGGAAGCTTAGTGGGAAAAACTAGCCATCCCTGCCATTGTACCTGATCTTGAGGAAGGAAAAACTCATCTTGCCTGTCCTCCACCATCTATTCTAAAGTCTCTTTGCCCTCAACTAGTACCTCTGCTGGTCTAGGTGGCTGGGCCACTGAGATGACACAGACGTTCATTTTCTGAATAAGAGAGGCAATGGGTCAGTGGTCACCATGACCTGCCCGGGCTGTGGTTGCTGCCACATTTATCATCAGAATCAGGCAGTTACCAAGAGCAGCCCAAGTGGACCCCCTGAGTGCCAAATATAGACTTCCCTGATCCTAGTGTGGAACAGCAGGTCTACCTCTGCCGGATGGTCAGGGGCAATTATTCCTGCCAGTATGGTGATGACTTTCCTTGCCTGCTGGTCTCTTGAAACAAGATCTTTGAAGTAACCAAGTAAGAGCCTAATCCTATTATTACCTTAATAGAATCTTGCTGGGTTCCTTAGTGGACCCATGACCCCTCTAAGAACCAAGACTATGAAGTGTCAGGATTCACTGTTGTGAAGAAGGGAAGCGCAAGCTCCCTAAAAGGACCCTTGGGGCTGATGGTAAGCACGGTCACTGCTATTTTCACCTCTTGCTTCCTGGATCCGTGCCTCCTACATCTTGAAAACACGGCACCATATGGTATTTAATGATTTGAGGTGTATACTACATCTTAAAGGATAGCGTTTCATCTGCACAGTGCAATCTCTCCAAGATGGTACATCTGCTAGACCTTTGACAGACCATTCCAGTGTTCTGTCAGTCCAGCAGCCTGTGGATGGTGGCACATGTGATGGGACCATAGATACCATGGTCATGTGTCTACTGCTCACCTCTTTTGCTATATAATGACAGTGGGTCTCTTGATCCAATACAATTTTATGTGGGATCCCACCTTTAGGGATCAGACTCTTTCTAAGCCCTTAGTTAGTGGTGTTGGCTGAGGCACTACAGGCAGAAAAGGCAAACGCATATTTGGAATAGGTGTCAAATCCAGTGTGGAAAAGCCCACCAGCCTGGACCTACTTGCAGATCCCTTTTCTGTTCTGAGACCCACACAATGATGGCAATCTTATGGGTCATCCTGTAAATGGGTTGAGTCAATATTCCCAGTATGCTGCTCCCGGAAATCAAAAACTCCAATTGGGTACTCTGTTCTATCCTGGTGGAGGGAAGTGCAGGACGCAATAATCTGCCCCTAGCAGGAGAGAATGTTCTAGTTTACTTCAGACCATTCGCCTAAAAAATTGCACTAATGCTGTGGGCCCCGGAGTCTTTTTAGAGTTTAACTCCCATCCTCTGGAACACATATTAATTTGTATTAATTTTCTGTCTTTGCAAAAACTACCACACGTTTAACCGCTTGAAACAATACCCATATATGACCTCACAGTTCTATAGGTCAGAGGACCAGGCAGACTTAACTGGATTCTCTGCTTATGGTCTCACAAGGCCAAAGTCAAGGTGGTTGCTATATACCATCCCAAATCACGACTATTAAAGTTTTAACAATTGGGGCACCTGGGTGGCCCAGTCGGTTGAGCGTCCGGCTCTTGATTTTGCTCAGGTCATGATCTCAAGGTTGTGGGTTCAAGCCCCATGTCAGGCTCCATGCTCAGCAGGGAGTCTGCTTGAGATTCTCTCTCTCTCCCTATGTCCCTCCCCGCCCACCACCCCCTCGCTCACACTCTGTTTCTCTCTCTCTCTCTCTCTCTCTCACCCTCTCCCTCTCTCTCTAAAAGAAAAACAAATCTTAAAAAAAAAAAAAAAAGGTTAACAATTGTACCACCACCTCCCCTTGCCCCAGGCTGTGTTCCACCTGCCATCAATAGATTTCAAAATTGCTGCCCAATTTTTTGCATAATACATTGAACATAATGCACTAGGTAGCCACTATTTGTATTTACAACTGTGGCCCATGTCAATGCCAACTATTCCATGTGAATGAAACAGAGAGTGATTTCACATTCCCATCGAATCTTTTACTTGCTGTGAACAGAGCTGGTCCTCCTTCAGAACTAATCTCAATGTACATCTTCCCATCTGCATCGTGACTTACAAAGTTACGATTAACTGAATGAACTAAAACCTCCCATATCATGTGTTTTCAGGAATAAATAAAACAAAAAATTATCAAGCAATTTTCCCTCATATATAATGTGACCAATGTCAGGAACTATTTAAAACTCTGAAATTGGTGATTTTTTTAGAACCACAAAATATTTACCATTATTAGGCACTCGTGATAGTAATTGCCCCTTCACATTATAATTCGTTGATATTGAGCAATATACAACAGAGCCATTTCATACACAGATTTACCAATAACCCTCATATTTGACATTTATCATGAACTTGGTGAATGATTTTACAAGATTCTTGTGATTTGTGAGATTAAATACTCATTCTGTCATAAAAAGTACCACTTTAAGTGATTCTTCTTCCATTTTGGTCTCTTCTTTGCCTTTAGCAACAAAATTTATTGGTATTATACTGGAAAGCCGTATTTTGTGCTTATTCTTAAAAACTGATTAATTTGCTTTGGAGGTCATTTGTGGAAGAAAGTGCTAGACAATGTCCATTCTCCTCTTCCTCCTTAGTATCAGAACCTCAAATTTTAGATGGACACTCTGTTGCTCAGATGAAGGACTACCTGCCCACCTCCCTTGCAGCTAAGATGGTCAGTCATGTGACTAAGTTCAGGTGAGTGAAATATAAATAAATATGTTTGTGTAGGATTTCTGGGAAGTCTCCTTGAAAGGGAACAGGTGTGTCTGTCCTTACTTTTTCTTGCTGGGTATAGTAGGATGTGATGTATGGAACTCTGGCAGCCATCTTTGGCCATGAAGTAACTAAGAACAGAAGCCACCTAGGGGGCTCTGAGGATACCACAGGCCCACTATACCAAACCTAGACTGCCTGCCTTAGACTTCTTTGACAAACAAAAATTAATCTCCCTCTGTTTGAGACACTGTTATTTTGGAGTTTATTTCTTAAATGCAGCTAAATTATTCCTAGTGGATATATTATTCTACTCTGTTTTTAAAATATGCAAAAGCTATAATGACTATGTTTTTTAATAGATAATACACTAAGTATTAGGGAAATTTAAGTTGTCAGTCCATTAACATTCAAATTTCAGATATTTATGGTTATGCTTT